GCCCCGGGATTATGTAACTGAAACATTTCTCATCGAAGCCGTGAGAAATGTTAAAGTAACGAAAGGCTGTGTGGAAGAGGTTAAAGGCTATAACAAATAAGGTTGAGAAGTGTTAGTAATAATGAGAAGAGTCGTGGTCTTGCGCGGGCTCTTCTCTCGTTCGATTCATTATAAAAAGGGTGGAATTTCCCCCTCCCAAAAAGACAGTTCAGAATCGTACAATAGTTCAGAGTAGTTCCAGAGAAGTCCACAATCGTTCAATATAGTTCAAAATAACCTTAAACAATATACTTGTACTGCCCCTACAAAATTTTAATAAAGTTATTAAAGACCCCTTTGAACCGCCAATACAATAACACTCTTTAAAATCGTAGTACTTATCTTGTAACGCTCCTCTTCGATCGCCTTGACCTTGTGCCAAATCGTAAAACCGCCTCTGTTATCTTTGAGGAACGTTACGCGGCATAAACGTTTTTCTAGCGACAATTCGTCGCATTTGCCCAATCTCTGAACTCGACATATTACCCGTCACATTATATGTTACTTCCGTTATGATTGGCCTGTTTAACGAAATAACAGAAGAATCCGGATTGTTTCGCAGAGGGTCAAATGCTTGAAGCTTGATAGATTTCGAAACAACAAAATAAAAAATGAATGAGAATTGTATATTTTTTATTGCGCAAAAAAAGTAACAAGAATAATTACATGATGTGGATCAATGTCTGAGCTTGAAATTTCGGCATAGTTGATTTCTTGTCGTTCTCTCAAATCATACTGTTTCACGAGTTCTTCCTAAAGAACGTCATAACAAACGAGTTAGAAAGATGTTTCATACAATTGATCATTTATAGAAACCTACCCCAACTCGCTTTTCACCTAAATTTTGTTCATTATTAATCGTTTCCGTGCTATTTTCTTTTTGATTATTCTGATAAACACGTCGAAGATGGGAAAGGTAAGAAGTAAATTTCATATTAAAAGCTGGCCATTCAACTACCTCAATGTTCGGAGACTGTGACCTGTGACACTTGTACGTGCGATCATCATCTATACTCTCTAATCGTCTTGTAACTTTTTCTCGAACCAAACTTTCTTGCCTATCACGTTGAAGGGTTGAGTGTACAGCGGATGTAGCGAGTTCATCCTGTTATAATAGACAAGTTAGTGTTCACGTTTGCTGTGTACCTTGTTATATTGCCGGAATATCTCATACCAACAAAACTGAACGTTCGATTTCATTTGCCACTTTCTTCTCTTGCGCTAACGTAGCCGTCTTCCAGAAGTTATCAATCGATTTTGACTTTTTTTCCTTCTATTAATAAAAAAAATCAAATTTGTAAGAAACGGAATCACCTGAGTCTCAACTCACAAGCTCCCAATTACAATCAGAAGTGATAGATATTAATGAAAAAATGTGTAAACATCCACCCGAATCGCAACTCAAGCATTCCCGATCGCAACCAGGAATGTTGGGTGGTTGAACACATTTCGTCAGGAACAACCACCCGAATCGCAACTCAAGCATTCTCGATCGCAACCAGGAATGTTGGGTGGTTGAACACATTTCAGCAGGACGGAACCACCCGAGTCGCAACTAACCATCCCCGATCGCAACCAAGGATGTTGGGTGGTTGAACGCAGATCGCAACCCCATCCAAAAAGGCTATTGCCCTTTGAGACCCGTCCACTGCCAACAAAACACCAAAAAGTAATACTTAACTTGTAACAAATTAAGAGCGTCGCTAGCCAGTTTAATCATTTCCGGGGATTATTGTTCGTAACTGAGTATACTAGCAAGGCTACGAGTATACCGGCTGTGTTCTTCATGCTTGTCGGCACAGAAATCAGAACATTTTTGTCGATATAACAGAAAATTTAACAGTGTCCACTCGCGGTCCAAAGTAAAGAAATCAGGATCATCTAACGAGATTCCTAACAGTATAAAAAGGAACTTTAGAAATCACAGAGTTTCAAATAAAGCGTGCTAAGAAAGTAAACTTGCCGTTGGTTACGTGAGCAGAAGTCGACATGTTTACGAAAAAAACCGTGACAAAATGTCACGATCAGACTTGCCGATCACTTTTGCCAAGAAAATTATTTCGGAAAAATTATTGTTATACATTACACAAAAAATAACACATGATACTTTGTACATTCCTCTAACCAAAAATCTTTATTACAATAAAAATACAGGATAAAAAAATATATATATAGTGAAATACATAAGCTTAAGCAAATATATAATCTATTATTTTATTTTTTTTGTACACGACGCCTTTTACTGTTACTTGCTGTTATCCTGTCTTTTAACAAACCACAATGATTCCAATTATTCGTTGTACACTGTTTCGAAGAATATCGATATTTTCTTTGATCGCGGTTTTTGAGAGGTTTATTTAATATTCATCCTCGCTGGTACTGTACAATAAAGTCCGTCAGTCGAAAATATAATGAAATGTCATTCCATTGCTAAAAAATAAAACGAGAAAATTAACATACCTGCGGTTAACGATCCCGTAATGATAGTCGTATTCATCATTATTAAAGGCTTGTTCTGCAGTTCTGATTTATCAATTACCTCCTTCATTGGCACAAGAAGCTTGGAAGCGCCTTATTTCTTGTGACAAAACAATAACGAAAAGAAGACCTATGCACACTTTACGTCATTTTTTACATTCTACACTACGTTGGACATAAGGTAACCCTTAGACATGCGGAATGTGCATTGGAGATCTCGGCATCTTTGGCATTGCAACGTAGAGAAGGATCGCTATGTATTACACTTCACTTGACCACCTAGTAGAACCTTTAGTAAAACTAAAACTATAAAAAAGTACATATGTGTTTTGGTTAGAAGTGTATTAGTTCTAAGATAGATCTTAAGCTTAGTATTAATCTTTCCTATTGCTATAACGATAAGTGTTGCGAATAAAATTTAAAAATTCGTTACACGAATAAATGTGTCATAAGTTAATTGTCCGAATTTAATAACCGTGGGATTAACAGAGTATACAAATTTAAAACTATCGTTATTAACCCATTTATTTTTATTTAACGTTAATCTTAATTCGAGAATTTTCACATTCACATCGCTTATATATTCTCTCCGCCACTTTTTTATATGTTTTGCAATATAGGTGTGAATGATGATTGCATTCGTCACAAACCTTACACCCATGCTTCATCCTCTAAAGATATGCCACTTTTCGATGTAATTTCGATTTTTTTTATTTGTTAATACGTTACTCTTATCTTTCATTGTTATATATTAGCCAAAAAAATATATACGTGTTCTAAATTTTTTATCATTCAAACCTGCAATTAGTTGATACTCAATATTGCTATCGTTATGTAATATCAATAATGTACTATAGTATAAAATTCATTTTCCCGTTGATCTTCCTGATAATGCAAATAAATTTTTGTTACTTCAACAGATCAACCACCTATACTGGATATATTGTAAAAGTCAAAACGAACTACAGTAAATAAATTAATTCTTAGCAAACGAATATATTTAAAAATCAAATCATAGATAAAAGTTTTATTAATTTTGTGACTATATATAAGATCAGATGCGTCAAAGATACTATATATAGTTCCTCTATAAAGCTTGATAATTAGACGTGATAGCATTTTCAATTTTCAAGTTTATTAGCATTTTGACTCACGAAGTGAGGAGGCTATGCCTCTAAACCCTTTGGGTCATTGCTTTGCAATAATACCGATCTTAAGCACATTTTATAAATATTCCATCAGGTCTATAGAGTCATTTAATTATTGCATGCTGGATTATTTTAGTTGAATTTATTCATTTTTTTCATAAACAATATGCTCACTGGATGATAATAGCTGATTGATTTTTTATATACAAAGTTTTAAAATATGTTATTTGGATTAAAAATTCTCTAAATTTAGAGTGATTAGTTATGGATTCATTTCTGGTTAGATCATTTTTAATACAGAATACAAAGTTTTTTCAATGATCCTTACTAATAATATCATATCCTAGTATTAATAAATGTTTACATATATATTTGAGCAGATGATACTTCACAAATCATAACCAAGCTTCTGGTGTTTTAAAAATATTGATATAGTTTAAATCATATTTGGTTAACATATATCAGGTATAATTATTTTTTGTTCATTCTTTACAAATATCTTAAATATTGAGCATGTTTATATTTCAAATATATGGATTTTATTAACTAAGACTTTTAATTTAATAAGTATGAGTTAGGATCATTAGATCTTCAATGACAATTATGAATGATTTTTGTTTGGCATTCCAAATATATTTTGAATAAAGGTAAATGGTAGTAATAAATAATTTGGTATAAGATATCAAGATAATTAATTAAAAAAAAATTATATTTCATATTATGCTCATATAATTGTTAATGCTTTGGTCTTATTGAGTAAGTTAGACTCTATGATTCTAATTGTATTCAAGACAGACAAGACATACATTTCTTTTAATGTAATCTAATTTATTATCAATTTGATCTACTGTCTATTGATTAGAATTTAAAGCTTTATTCTATTTCCATAACATTTCATTGAGACATAATTCATATTTATTTTTTTACAAATCTTTTAATACAAGAATATAATCAACAGATAAGTTAAATTCACAACCTTTTTTCTTATCTTGATCTATATATCTTATGAGTTTTTCAAAAATAAATGGTCTCAATGAACATTCAATAACTTTCTTATTTTTTTTTTTGTATCTTCAATCTCAGAAGGTAATAAGAGACCTTCAATCTGAATAAATTAACTCAAATATTTTATATGACCAATTGTGAGATAAATTAGATTATCCCAAAATGCATTGCAAAGCCTTGAGTATCATTTCCTGACTAATATGAATGGTTATTGCATATCCAAGTTCCTAATCTATAGCCTTTTCTTTTTCTAATATATCTTGTAAGAATTTATCAGAAAGTATATTTAAGGATAAGTGTATTATATCATTTTTCACTAGTTTTTTTTTCAGATGAGCCAAAGATCAGAATAAGGCAATTTTGTTTGCACCTATCTTTTGGCCTATAAATTAATGAGATTAGAATTTTGAGATATTTTGTACAATAAAGCTTGAGACATATTTATAATACAAGTCTTTAATAAAGCTGATAAGTTAATAAAATTCAATCTGAAGGAGACTATTTCTTTTTGAGATATTTCTATTTTTCTATAACTGGAATTGCTTTATGAAATAATTCTGATTGTACTCAATTATTTTTATAATGCATTTCTTTTTTGAATTTACATAATTTAGAACATTTGGCCTGATAGTTAGTTAAGACTTTCTTATAGTAATCAGTTTATTTTTTTAACCATCTATGGGGCATTTCTTCAAAAATTATGGAGGCTAGGCATCATTATTACAACAAATTATCTGACATTTTTGCTCTAGTAAGTAATCGATAAAATTTTCTAAAATGTGTTTAGGCACTGTACATACTTCATCCTATATAACAACTCATGGGAATTTTTTTTTATTTATATGTTCAGAATTCCACTCTTCTACATCATTCCATCTAAAAAAACTATGCCAAGTTTGGGCTACCTTATAGTTATTTTGAAAGTCTTTGGTCAATATATTTGTATGACTGAAAACAATTATATTTATGTCTTTAAAAATTTTGATAGCTTATGTCATTTTACCAGATCCATCTTCTCTATTGAGATATGAATTTTGATATCACATAATAGGATTATGAATTAATAGAGCTGTATTATCTGAAATATCTTTGATTAATTTCTAATGCCTATTCTTTGGCTAGTATACAATATCAACAACTAGTCCATATATTTTTTCATCCTTATCACACTATTGACTAGATTGAATATTTCAAACTTTTGTTCTTCTTGCCGATTTAATTGCTTCTAACTAAAATCTGATTTATAAAACCATTCTTCAAAGCAAAATCTGCAAACAAATAAAGTATACCTTTTATATTTATATTTTACTAGAGATCTTTTTGTTTTTAGAAACTCTTTAATCCATTTTGCATATTCTAATTTTGAAATAAGAAATTTTTCTGGATCACTACATATTGCACAAGAAGAATAGTACGAATATAAATTCAGATCTGACTTTACCTCAACTTGCTTGAAGAATGCTAATATATTTTCAATCTTGTATAAAGCCTCTTTTCATATATATATAGAATCTGTAGTAATCTTTACTACTTCATTAGAATCGAATCTCTGAAGCATCTCTAACAAATTAATATGTGCATATACTAATATTAAGGTCCACAAATGTGTATATTGAGATTGATGTCTCTCATAATATGTAAGTATGAATTCGAGTAAACATTTTTCTCTTCTGACAAAAGTTTTGACATTAGTACAATCTTTGACCAAGAAATCGAGCTCACCTTTATCTGTTACAAGTTGATGAATAAGTCATTTTTCATCAATCTTGTCATCTTGTAAAAACTTACCTATAATTGTATAACTAATATTTTAATTTTTTAATAACCATACTTTTGTTTGTTTGGTAAGAGAAATAATTGCTTCTCTAATAGTTACACTTTCTAGAATACCAGTCTCAAGAAGATATTGTAAAAATACAATAGATGCTCATTCTTTACTTTTTTACACATCCATCTCTACTTCAATATACAAAATGTTTTTCATACCAGACTGGAATTACTAGATATATATTAAAAACAAATTTGAAAGATTTTATCTGTGCAAATCTGGTGGTATTATCTTTTAGTAACTTTTCATTTACTGCTACTCAGACATGATAATGTGTTAGATATCTAAATTGATTAAACTATGATGTATATTCTTCTTGATCTCGCATACTTGCTGAATAGCATTCTTTTATATCAATACATATGACATTATTAATGTAATAACTGGGTGCATTCCAGCATCTACCATGCCTATACTTAACACAAGCTTGTCTTATAATATCATTTATTTTTCCAGATATTGGATGCCATTCATTGATTTTATTGACAAGTTGACTTTCAGTATAGTTTGCACCAAATACTTGCTCTGCTAAGTCAACTACTTTGAGAGACTTTAAAAAAATCAATTTTTTTTCTTCAATAATTATATTTTCATGAAATTGCTAGTTTATCACATTTTCAAATAATTCCTTACATGCTTTTATAATTTCTGTATGCTTTATCTATGTTCTAAATACATGGCTATCTTTTAAAATAAATTGAAAAACTCTTTGTTTTTCATCTCTTACTCTTATAAGTCAGATTGCTTAAGAACCTTGAAGAGCATTATTGATAGCTTCCCAAGTATTGTTTTTATAATATTCAACTATTTGATCCTTTGGAAAATGATGATTTTGAAGGAATGCATGCTCATTATAAACTACTATTTCTATTTCTTCATACTTATCTAATTTATATTTTTTGTTATTAAAAATAGTGCTATATGTAATATCCAGTAATATAATTAGTTACTTAAGAATTTTTTCTAACTCTGCTACATCTTGTATTTGAGCATCTGAAATACGCATTTTTTTCTCCCAATTATTTATTTTTTGCTGATGAATTTTTATGAGTCCATGCCTTCACTTAGTGTTATCAAAATGCTCTATTACTTATTGAGCTACACAGTTAAGTGCTCCATCTTTCATAAGTATTAATCGATTAATATCTGGCTTTCAGATTCAATATAATCTATATATTATTGCATTATTGTTAAGCTTTTCTACCTCAGATTGCTTACTGACTTCTCTAACCAAAAATTTTTTATCTATTTCTATCCAAAATTCTGGTTTTGTTTTTTTTGTAAGTATAACATTTGGACTACTCCTAATGTATTTTCCATCTACCTTTTTTAATTTACAAATAAGCTCATATTTATTAATAATTTTAAAAGCAATCTTTGTTTAAGATTTATCTCTATATATAGAATCATCTCGAATGAATTTTATCCTTATTAAGAACTTGCCATTATCAATTGTATTTAAAATTTCTTGAGCTCACTTTTCAGTCATTCTAGCCTCAAATTTTTTTTGATTCTATTTGTTATTTCACATGTTCTAATCAGGTTTTATTTCCTTTATTTGATGCTCTATAAGCATTTATTGCTAATTTTATGATTTTATTAATTTTTTTTTTTTGAATAATTCTGATATAGGCATTGTAAATATACCTCCTACATAGCTTTATCTTTATTTTCTGTTTCTAATATTACACTGGCCAAATCTATCTCTTTAGCTTCTATAAACCAGTTTGAAAAAACATATTCAGTTCTATCTATTTTAAACATATTCTTTGCAGTCTAAATTTCATTTTGTCATATTATATGATACTCTTTATTATATAGAAATCAAACTGGCCATAATACTTCTATATTTAAATCTAAAAATTTTTCTTTATGAATAAGCAATTCTTAAACAGATTGTAATTCTATATTATCTAATAGTATAGTTTGTTGAGTTACTATTTCTTTTGATTTAGTAAGTCTATCTTTACAATGAGCTTGGATATGAGAGCCTGGACCAGCTTCAGGAGAGGTATAGCCTTGAGTCTCTGACTTATTAATTTTTGGCTGTACCATTGGAGATGTTTTATGCTGAAGATTTGTTTTTTTGATTTTAGGTTCATCAAAAAATTCTTGTTCTTCATGCTTTTCTTCTTCTATTATAAGTCGAAAATATGCATTTGGAACCAGTTACAATAATTCATCATAAAGAACTTTGGTTTTGGCCAAATTTTTTGGCTAACCATGATCTTTGTCACCTAATTCTTTGACTTTTTTTCATAATCTCAATCTCTATTATTTAACAAACTTGCCTAATTTTCTAGTATTAGGATCTTTTATTATTTAAAATTGCAAATCTAAATTAGATAAGAGTTTAGAGCTAAAAACTGACACAGATGCTTGTAATATATTTCAAAGTGCACAAGAGTGCTTTCTTTCAGTTAAATAATACTTGAATTTTTAGTTTGTTGTAAATGTATTGCCACAGCTTGGACAAGGTCCATATCTATACATAGTTAACTGATTTATATATTAACTTAAATATTCTTTTCTTTAAATTTAAATTTTATCCTATATAGTCTAACTTAAGTATATAAGAAGGCCTTCAGAGAGTCAAAAAATGCATTCCTTGCACTGTATATGTGAAGCCTACTGCCTCTGCTTCTGGCTGTTGTCAATTTCATATTGGTAGGTTTTATGTTATCCAATATATTGCTTGACTTAAAAATGCTTTCTGATAACTCACTGCACTTCATTTGTTCATGATTGGAATGGATTTTGAAGACTTAAACTATACAAGAAAACAATATAGTAACTAGATGCTCCACTTCACTTCACATTTTGGATGCTTTGTATCTTTATACAGTTAGCAATAATGGATTTCGAAGACTTACTAGACAAAAAAGCTAAAATATTATCTAGATATATTTCAAATCAAAAAAAGGTCAAATAACTATACAATATATTTTTTATATAATGTAAATGTATCATAAAAAGCAAAATACTCGTCATCAAAATTAAGTTTTTGAAGACTCTAGCTAGACAAGAAAACAAATCATAATTCTTGATCTTTTTAAGTATCAATTAACCAGAATACTAAATTATTATTCTTGGAGCTTTCAAGTGCTAATTTAACCAGAATACTAAATTATTGTTCTTGGAACTTTCAAGTATTGATTTAATCAGAAAACTAAATTATTATTCTTGAGACTCTGGAAGGGTCATTTTTAACCAAAAAAAACTAGCCTTTAGAACATGTTCTTGGGTATTTTATATAAAAAGATAATATGAATTTTGATGATTTCAGAACTTTTAACTTACATATTCAACTTATCCAAAAATTCTATAAAATAAAAAAAAGTCTGCTTGCTCTTCCTGCTGCTAGCAAAAATTATTTTTATATGCATAGTAGATTAAATTACACATATATGTTCTATATGCTTTTAATTAGATTTGCTATACATTTGAAATAATAGATAAATTATATATGTATTAAACAATTATTATATAAATATAATAAATTAAGTTTATATTTGCAAAATATTATTGACATAAATACAGTATAAATACTATTGATATTTTAGATTTGTAGAATGTTATTTATATAAATACAGTATAAATTTTATAATATAAATATTAAACATATTCATAATAAAAATTTTTTATTAGGATAATAACACCACTCTAAAATATTTTGAGTTTTAATGATAATAAACTTGGTTGAAAAGAAGGACAAGCATTAGCAGATGCTCTTTGCAAAAACAACACTATGAAGCATTTGAGCGTTAATAATATTATCTTGGATCAGAAAAAGGAAAAGCATTGGCTGATGCATTTTGCAAGAATAATACTCTAGAATATTTGAATATTAAATATAGTGATCTTGGAACTGAAGAAGGAATAGCATTTGTAGAAATACTTTTCAAAAACATCACTCTGACTTCTTTAGATCTTAGTTTCAATGAACTTAAATCAGGAGGAGGAAAAGCGTTAGCAGCAGCACTTTGCAAAAACTTCACGCTGACTTCTTTAGATCTTAGTTTTAATGAACTTGAATCAGAAGAAGGAAACGCATTAGCTGATGCCCTTTATAAGAACACTACGCTGACTTCTTTAAACCTTTATTATAATAATATTGGATCAGAAGGAAGAAAAGCGTTAGTTGATGCTTTTTGCACAAACAATACCCTAAAAGATTTGAATCTTAGAGAGAATAATCTTAGGTCAGATGTTGTAAAAGCGTTAGTAGATGTACTTTATAAGAATATTACACTGACTTCTTTAAGTCTTAAAACTAATAAACTCGGAATAGAAGGAGGGAAAGCATTGGCTAATGCACTTTGCAAGAACAATACTTTAAAATATCTAAATCTTAGAGAGAATAATCTTGGATCAGGAGGAGGAAAAGCATTAGCCGATACAATTTGCAAGAAAAATGCTCTCGAATATTTAAATCTCAGACATAATAGTCTTGGGTTAGAAGTAGGAAAAACATAAGCTAATGCGCTTTGTAAGAACACGACACTGATTTCTTTGAATCTCCGAGATAATAATCTTGGATTAGAAGGTGGAAAAGCATTAGTAAACGCTTTTTACAAAAACAATGGCTTGAAAAAATTGGATATTTATAATAACAACAGTATTAATTTTGCTGTAAAATCAAATAATCTAAGCATAGAAATATTTCAATAATCTAAGTACTATAAATTCTCGAAAAAACGGATATCTTTGGGTGTACGATAGTTTGAATGCGGTACCATATCCCTTATTTATTATATGCTGTTTTGTCATTAATGTTGGGATCATTGAACTTATAAATTCCAATTAGAATGTATAAGCTTGGCTGTCATACTGACTATATATATATATATGGTACATGACATTCTAAAAAGAAAAAAAAATACAGGTCGAATTTTCCAACATACAGTATGAAATACACTATCTGATCTATGAAACCACATTGCATACTTTGTCAAAAAAAAAAAAGAAAATTGCAACTTTTAAAAAACTGCGCATAGTAAAAATAAGATACTTAAATGCAAATATTTTTTAATTGTTGCTTATAAGGATTTGCTTATGATTTTTGTTCAACAATTTTTGGCTTAATACATTGATTGCATCAGCAGCGTAAAATGAAAACTTACTATATCTCTACTAAAATATTTAAATCCGAAAATATTCCCTTTTTGAAAGATTAATACAAAACATCGCCAAAATATTCACCTATCAAAAGAGAGCAAATTGCCCTTTGTAATTCACTAATTCCGTTACTTTCTTGCGTTCCCTTGCACTTTTTTAACAAATGACCACATTTTTGATCGTCTGTTTTCATGGTTACAAACGCGTCCTTAACATTACGTCCGTCCTTTCTTTTCAAAATAATTGAATCATTTAATAAATCTGTCAATTGATTATATCCCACAATTTGAGGAATAGTTTCTTTGTACATAGAAAAGTATAATAACTCAATGCAACAAGTCCGGATAACTGTTCCATTTTTTACTAAATGTCTAATCTTCCATAACACTTTTTCAGCTTGGTGAAATTTCATTTGATTAGCACGTTCTTCCTCGGGATCATATCTAGACTTCCATACTTGAACATCAAAGTAAATTTCATCATATTTAGTCGGGTACGGTGATACAGGAGGAACGTTCATTTTTAAAAAAGGATCATAAACATCCCTTGGAATGTTTGATACTTTTAATCCGATCCAAGTTACATTATCCTTTGTACAAACATTAACCTTAAAAGTTTCGTTCCAGGTTTCCTGAATAAATTCGCCAAGGGTTAGATAAGATGATTTTGCATATTCATCCCAGTTAAGATTTTCATGGTATAATTTCGCGTAGGAATCGGTCATTTGACGTGTGTTTAAAAATCCACATGTCTCATATTTAAAAACTATAAGATAAAAAAATGTATGATGGTGAATATTCAATGTAATTAGTGTTCGAGACAATAGAAATTTAATGAAATAAAAAGCATACACAAATCTTTGATCCTTCCTTCAATTTTATCCAATTCATCATGATCCTCTTGAGAATAATAATCCGAATTTTCATCATCAGATAATAGTTCAACTTGATCGAGCCTTGCTTTGCCGATTGCGTATCGGTTTTTTAGGTTCATTCTTTATTAAAAATTGAAAAAGTTATATTTGAGAAAAAAATGATTAAAGCTTTATACACAAAAACTATTTTTCTAATTCAATTTTTATTAAATAATAATACGTTATTATTGCAAGTAAATCGTGCTGACAGAATCTAAATGTTATGCTATTAACGAAATTGCAACATATAACTACGTCAGAACAAATTCTGCAGCCATCATTATAAAATTATATCGATATACAAATTATTAAAATAATCTGGAAGGTTAATATTAACGAGGTTGATATTAACGGGGGTAACCTGTATAACATTTTACTAATCAAAAGTTACTATAAAAGTCACTTCTAGCTTACAAATTATACTGTATCTAAAATTCGTTATGTAAGAGAATCGTAAAAAGTATTTTCCTTTTGGTTAATTTAGAAGCGAATATGTTTATTATTTATTGATAATAATAGTTATATTAACAATATAATATATAATATATACAGTCTACCCTCGTTATAACGGACGCCGTCATAGCGTATACCTTGTTATAACGGTGGAATTTTCTAGGACAATTTAAAAGTTTTATTAGGTATTATATAATTTAACTTTGTTATAACGAAGATAGAAAATGATTCGTAAAGATTTAATAATGATTTGATTGAAATTTAAACTGTTGTTTAACTATGTTAAATCGAACTTTTAGGATCTATAAACTCTACCTACTTTTTTATTAATAATTCTAAATTGTAACTAATGTTGCTTGCTGCAAATTCGCAACTTAATCTTTACAGCTTATTTATGTTGAAATTATTCCAAGATAAGTCTTATATATTAGATTACTAATGACCGTGTGAAGTTTTTTCCGTGATATTTTGCAAAATTGATTGTGTAAAAAGGTAAAACAAATTCACATGATAATATAAAATGTCAAATAAAAACTTTTTAAGACACTTGCCATCGACAGTTCCTCCTGTT